GCGAGTCAAAATACAAACAACGAGTACAAATATAAAGTTATTTGGACGGTATTCGCTGCAGTTGGATAATAATTGAAGGATAATAAACACAGTAGCCTCCATTTGGCGCGAAAATATGCTCAGATATTGGCCCTCGGACATTATCTGTTCCTCGAAGCTCACAGTTTTCCTCGAGCTACACTCTCGGAAAACTATTCGCTTCTCGGAACAGATAATGTCCGCGGACAAATATCCTAGCATACGTTCGCGCCAAATAGAGGCTATCGTTTATTTACAGTGCCCATTCGAGGAAAATACCCGGATGGATAGTAGCTGATAGTACTTGTCCCTGAAAATATTTCTGCGAACAAGCGGGCTTATGGAAGAAAAAAAATGGAAAGACGTATTTGCCTGTTTTCTTTTTCAAATTTAAGATTGTGTGGCTTTCACGGCTTCCACTAAAAAAGTTGAAAATAATTCAATGTTAATTTTGACCTGGGGCGCTGAAGAAAAGACAAAAGAGTGTCAGAACTGTCGATCTGATAGTTGCCCCTTGTAAATTTGATGTTCTTAAAACTAGCATATTCGGGCAAATATTTGTTTTAAGAACATCAAATTTCCACAGGGCAACTGTCGGCCGATAGCTCCTCGACATAAACATTCTGTTCCTTTTTTTTTTTGCGTTTCACCAATAGAACATGTTACATTTAAAAATGTAACACGTTCTATTGGTGAGACGCAAAAAAAATATTTGCCCTAGTGTTCTATGAACGAACAGACAACCTGGATGGGACTAGTTAACTATTTGCTCATTAAAACAAAATCTGAGTCATCTTATTATTAAATAAGACCACGGGATAAACGCTAACTGTTGATGTTAGATTGTGTGAGAATGCAGAATCTACAATTTAGTCGATAATCGCGGCACGCTAACTGATTTTTCCTTTCTTTTCCTTTCTTTTCCTTGATGTGCTTTTTAGAGGAAACTGGAAATCATTTTTCCTTGTTACCACCAAGTCACTCGCGGACGTTTGGAAGGTGTGGAAACACTTTCCTGTGGTTCGTTTATTTTACGGCATTTGTCCATTTTTAGAAACTTCCTCGTGTGCTTCCGTGACGCAATAGTTAAGAAATAGAAAACATGTACCGTGTTTCTATCAAGGCTTAGTATAAATCTACTAGCATTCTATCACGTATGCCGTTCTCTGATTGGCCACGCTACTCACCGTCTATTCTGTGATAGATAGTGAGGAGCGAAGTAGCGTGCCCTTGTTAACAAAATGACGGCCGTTTCTTGGCGTTTTCGATATGTCTGCGAAGAGGATTTAGATCAAGTTTTGAACGACTAGTAGATTTATACTAATACAATTAGACTATTCGCTCTCGATTTCTATCGCGCGATAGAAATCTCGAGCTCATAATCTAATTGTTTAATAGAAACACCATTTTTAACCAATCAGCGCGCGTAATTTCTTAGTACTGTTTTCTAATATAACATAGAAGTTGCTCTGTTACTAAGTAGAGATGATGAAAAGGTACGAGTGTGACTTACCTAGATTGACTGGATGTTTACCCGTCATGAACGAGGCCCGGGTAGGAGTACAGATTGGTGACACGTAATAGCCATTAAGAATTACGCCGTTGTTAGCTAAAGCGTCAAGGTTGGGCGTAGGGATCTGGGACGAGCCATGAAAACTCACGTCATCCCAACCCTAAAGGAAAAAAAATAAGATGCAACTAACCCAGCGAATATGGAATATATAAACTTGCAGATCATATTGGCATATTTGCCATCACTATTGTACGTTAGTTTGGAAATTGTCCACAACGGGAAAAGGATAACAGCGTATCATCTCGCTTTTTTAAGCATGCATTCAGTTTGGGGATGAATCTCGTCCGCAGAGTCTACTGTTTCTTTTAGAGATACTTAGCCCAGGGGGCCTTGGCACGACCTTGGTATCTTTTCCTCGTCCCAAGGCCTCGCCGGCTATGCCTCTAGAAACTGGAATATTCTGGGATAAGAGTAACCTTGAACCACGACTGATCGCTGGAAATGCTATCTTCTTTGCTTAGTTACCGCAATAAGGTTTTTTGGCGTGAGCTTTCTGGAATCACCCTAACAATGTATTGGAAACACTGCAAAAACGTTAATCTGCAATAATTCACTGTTAACCTAGAACAAACTATTTAAAACTAATCTTCTAAATCTTAGGAATCCGTGTGGTTCCGGTAGACTCTCGGTATTTTGAGCAATCTGGTGACTGGTTCAGGCAAGAGATTATCGAGGTAAGTACCTTGATAATCTTTTGGTTCAGGCTAATCGGCATTATTTGATTCTTATCTTCGGATAATACATTTATAACCCTCTTGTTGTTTCTCTTTAATTTTTTTTTTATTAAGTTGAAAAAAGGCACTGAGACATTCTTTGCAGATATAATGCGTTTTTTGATAATTAATGGAGAAAGGTGCCTTTTCATTATAGCCGTGTTTCGTATCCTTACCAGGTCATCCGCGACAATCATAATAATGTGGGGCCTGGATGCTGCGACGAGGACTGAGACTTCCCTAAAGTTATGGAAGGAAAGCGCCAGCAGCAAGCTTTTGAACAAAAAGGAAACCACATTCGATCAAACACATTTTATTCTTAAAGGCATTTGTTACTGTACCTCTGAATAGTTGTTTCATAACTCTCCATTCTTATAACAATTTCCTGGTAGCACACAGTTAGCTCTTGAAATTAAACAAGAAACTGCTTTCACTAAGACACATTTTGTAGCTATATCTATCTGTTTCTGTACCATTGAATACTTTCCTGGTGCAACGTGAAACAAAAGATTTTGTAGTCGATCATAAGCAGATCTAAGTACATTTGCCAAGCAACAGTTTCTGCAAACGAAACTTACACCTGTTTTGATCGCACACGCTCAGCCGTGAAAACTACAGTGAAAGAAAAAAGTCATCTTTTTTATTTACGGCTTCGGCAAATAATTGATCTGCGAGACACTGACGAATCACGATATTGTGCGACAACCGAGTTCAATGATTGTTTTATCATTTGATCACCAAGTTTGTCTCATGTTTAAATCACTCTCCGACAGTTCAGGGAAGCGAAATGCCATTTTTCAACTGAGAGGTGACACACAGAGATCAATTTTCCTTTCATATGTTAAAATTCTGTAGAAACCTTCTGGAGTCATCCGTCCCACCAGTTCTTGAGAGATGGAACTGGCTACCAGCTCTTAAACGATTCAGAGAAGTTGTAACAATGCTTCTATCGGGCTGAAAAAGAATGGGTGTTTAAAAGCCCTTTTTGTTCTACAGTCAGGTAAGCGGAACAACACTAAAGCGGCGGGGGAGAGTAAATTTTTCAATTTGGTCTCGCTCTCGGCGTTCTTTTAATCGTTAAGATAAAATAGAAGGCCTTTCAAATATCTATGTTTAGAACGATAGAATGAAAACATAGAGATTTTAGAGAGGTAGTTGGTTGTCTTTTGAGGCAAGACGTGATCGGGTAACAATCTTTTTTTTGAAGACATTTCTACAAGAAAGGGGAGCTTTGATTATACTGACTTTATTTTATTTATTGTTTTATTTTATTTTATTATTATCATTATTATTAATACAACATGAACACAATAGGAGAGTTAAAGGAGATACAAAAGGTAATACAGAAGGTAATGATGTGTGTTACAAAAAATACAAAAAAAAAAGAATTGCAAACTATTACAAAGTACAACATTTTGAGTAGGTACGTTGCAAAAAAAAGAAACAATTACTAAATTAAGAATTAATTAAATTAATTAATAACTTGACTAAGTAAGTAAAATGAAAAAAAAAAAAACTCAAATAAAGTCTTTCCACTTTTTGTTGAAATTGTCAGAAGTTTTATTTTTAACTGCTATTCGTTGTGAAGTATTTAATTTGTTCTTAAGTAAAGAAGGAAAGCCGTCAAAGGGTACATCACCGCTGTCTTGGATAGTGCAAAAGATATATGTAATACTTGGCCACCAAGGTGACATAGTTTAAAATGTCTTCTGATTCTGTGGTGTTATCATGCCAACCAAAGAGGATATTACGTTCGGTGAGAGTTATTATGTTTTTATGTTTTTCGAACCACCAATTTTTGAAATGCAGACCAGAAATTGGAAATTACAGAACAAAGGTATAATAAGCGAGGCAATGTTTGCGGTTGCATTTTGCATAGCTGACAGATTTCAGATTCGCATAGCTTCATACGGAAAAGGGAACACCTAGTTGGAAGTATGTTGTGGATAATTTTATATTGAAAAATTTGAAGCTTTTTTTCGAGCGTGGTAACAAAGGGGAGGTTATAAACTTTCTTTAAGCATTCTTTCGAGAAACCATATTACAGTAATTTTGGTTCAGCAGTTGGGGGTTGGAAGTAGTGGTGTATAATTGCTGCATAGACAGCACGGGTGGTGAAATTCTTAGGCAGAGAAGGTTCTTGTGACGCGTCATTTTCAATTGCGATTTCTGTGCGTTTGATTGTGCGTCTCCAGCTTGGTGGAATGGCGCTTATTAAACCATAGCACGTTGTAAACGAGGCACGAAGCCGAAAGATTCGTTGAAATTTGTCACGTGATAAGAGGTTAACATTTTCCTCAAACAGGTCATTTATGTACATGATTCCAGTTCGATGCCATTGTTTCAAATAGATCATGTGTTTATCTATTAAAATACTGTCTTTGTGGTCTACCAATAAAATCGATCGAACACCTCTGGGACGTTTAAAATGAAATGAAATCTTAATACAGGCGAGGATTGACATCGAAACTGCATTGATTCAGACGAACTTGTTCTATAAAGTCAAAAAAAACGTTACGATGTACGATCCTAAGGATATTGAGTTTGCCTTGACACGAGGGTTTGGATGAAGAATCTATTTCGACCTTGTAATGGGTCAACGATTAATTAGAGCGGTTAACTCGGTCTGCCTGTTTTTCAGTGTAGAATTACCATCAATAAGTAATCAATGTGAAAATAATTCCATCTGGAGCAAAAACGAAACTTTTATTTTGACGCTTCGAACTGAGATGTATTACCGCTCTATAAAGTACCACAAACAAAGAATACCACCTCTAGTTAAATAAATAAATAAAAGATCAAA